CTGTTTCCAATTTAATGTGGGCCCACCCTCGCGCCGATAGCATCGTCAGTGCTGAGAAAATCTTGTTTGTTGTGGCTGAGGCAGAAATCTGAAAGATTTCATCGTTCTCTTTCTAAATGAATGTTTTTTTTTTCGTTTTGTCCCTCTCATTGTTATTTGCGAGCCGCAACAATATTTGTGTACAGAAACAGGTTAACAGGTATTTAGACTAAGGATCAGTCAGGATTAGAGTGGCAAGCGTGTGATGTGCCGGATAAATAGACAGCACATCAACCCTGCTCAAGTGGGTGGTCGCTACTAAGCCCTAAGGAGGTTCTCTCAAGCAAGAGCAGCTCCATTAAATGGAGTTGAACAAGGAAAACCCATTCGAAAGACTATTACGAATGTTGTCAACTGCCCCATAAATTAGTTAAAGTGGCTCTCTCCGTGCTCCACACACTGGGCAGGCAATTAAGCAAGAGGACGCAGGATATGAGAGGGGCGTGTCGGGCAATGCAATGGTAATTTGATATGCGCGCACTTCTGGAGCGCGTTTCTCACAGCGGCCAAACCAGCAGCTAAGTGCCTGACGACAGGTAGTCCTGGCCCTGTTGTCCTGCGCTCCTGAGCTCCTACGAGTTGCCTCCTTCAACATCTCATTGGCGCAACAAATCGCAACGTAAACGCAAGCAAACAAAACTGATGATCGATCGATGCATTCTTTGTCCGTTTTCAGGGCATCCTGTGGCGTTGGTTGGTTGGCGGCATCAGTTCTAAGGAGCGTTAATTAGATTTACGCTGCACTCGAGCGGTGCCCATCAAAGTGCTGGTCACTCTGGACTCTCGATTTGCCTGAAATCACACGCATAATCACACAGATCGATAGATACACCTGTGTGAAGGGACCTCACGCAGTAAAGCAGGACTTGCCCGTGGGCTCCCGGCGTTCCAATCGCTGACCTTTCCGTTTCCCATTCCCAGTCCTTTCATCATATCCATTCCCATTACCATTCCCAATCCCATTCCCATTGGCTATTGTTATTCGCATTTCCTCTTATTAATTTGAAGTGCCCGCACTTCATGCAACTGTTGCGCATCGCTTCCTCCAGTCGGTGCCTCGGTGTCCTGCCTCGCTTGCTTCCTGCCCACAATGCTGTCCTGCTTTTGCACTTCCTGTGGGTCAGCCCGACTGTTGGCCAAAACATTCTATTGTCCATTAATTGTGCCGATTATTTACCCGCTGCGGGTGATGGACAGAAACGGAAGTGAATTTGATGGGATTGATTGTAAGGTGTAGAATAAAACTAAACTTCACAGGAAACTCATGTGGTTTTATCAGGGTAACAATATTTTTCACAATGTAGACTCAAATAATTATATTTATATTTCTATTATAAATAGCCAGGCATATATTCTTATTAATATGTAAATTAATACAACCTGTGCTTATTTTATTGTCATCTTGTAGAAGGGAGACAGCATTTTATAGAAGAGAGCAGATTAGAGTAAGATTACAGTAAGATAAGGAGTGTGTGAGAGAGAGAGAGAGAGAAAGAGACAGAAAGAGAGAAAGTGCAAACCTTTAAGTGTTATTTGAATTCATTATTTGTAACGTAGGGGAAAGTAAACTTTGTCAGCGTGTGGCTTTCATACATAAATTTACATACATATTCATACATTTAAGCATACATACATACAAATGTACAAATATTCATATATAATTACACAAATACTTACATAAATACGCACACATAATAAGTTTGCATACTTAAGTTTGAAGCTGATCGGCCAAATTTTATTTAATTATGATTAGAATACGTTTTCGTAGCCCCGCAAAATGTAATTCAAATACTGCTTTAATTTTCGCGCGTCCCCAAACTGCTTGGTAGTAGAGTGCAGTTAAAAATGTTGCTCAGCAAAGTTCCTCACCTTCGCACTGCTTATAAAGCATATTAAAATTAAGCAGTGTATGAAGCAGTGCACTCCAAAGTAAGACGGGGACTTGGTGGCGATTTGTGCGCGATTTTTGAGCGGTTTCTGATGCATTTAAAAATATGAAATGATTAAATTTAAATAATAATTTTAAGACCTGTTCTCAACTGTACGTGAATCGTAAACTATGTAATGTAATGTAATAATGTATTTAAAATATTCAAATATATAAAATATACATATATATGTATATTAATATATAATATGCACATTCACTGTGCATGCTTTTAAATTCATTGAATTTCCTCTAAAGACTATATATGTTCTTTTCCCGTTCCTTTTTCCGGAGCACATGTGTCATCTATCCAGTTGAAAGCCCCACAACTGTCGCTAAATGTGGCACCCAAATCCTTTGGATATTTCTCATTTGCAGTTGCTGACTTTGAATTCATTTTAATTCGTTTTTATTTCTTTTTAATTTTTATTACATTTTCGTATATTAGCTTTGACTTTGCTTTAGTTGTATCCACTTTGAATTATTTGCTGTTTGTTTTCCGCGCTCGCGCATGTAGCCAGCAAAAAAATGCGCAGACAAAATATACAAATACAGCAGCAGCAGCAGCAGGCAAGGTTTTTTCTCATATTGTTCTTTTGGCCCGGCTTATGTGCGGGTCCAGTATTCGGTATTCCGGGGTCCGGGATTCTGGCTCGGAGTCGGACTCGGACTCTGGCCACGTTTTGTAGTTATTGTCCAACGTTGACTGTTTACGCCAAATGCGCGCCGCGGAGTAGGAAATTAAAAATGGCGAAATAAAGTTAAATTTTTTATGGCTTGCGCAAATAAGTCACACGGCCCATGCAGAGAAGACCACTGGCCACTGGTAGGATCCACCATGTCCAGAGGCTCCACTCCCCCACCACGTGGGACCTCCCCACGCTTGTTAAGCAAGAAAATAATATTAGCATTAAGCGTTTGTCTGCGCGCCTCGTGACAGCCGCGGCGCCATCCGTCGCACTGTTTATTTTATTTTATTTTATTTTTTTTATTTATTTTGCAAAATGGGCGACAAACTTGCCATCATTTTGTGTTGGCTTACGTTCTTTTTTAGCCAAACTCGCCACCCCAGTCCACCCCGCCACTGACAACTTGTAGTTTTTTATACCATATAGCGCACATGTGTGGCGCCGCCAGCGGCACGGAGGCAGAAGGGCATGGAGCACATCCAATTAAGCAGCGCTTGAAAAGCTCTAAAAAATGAGGTGCCCGAAGGAGTTGGGCATGCGGCTTGTTTATGTGAGCAAGCGGGTGGGGTGGTTTTAAAGGGGAATGGGTAATGCCAAGTGGCTCTTTTTAAAGTTGGCAGCCAAAGGAAAACTGGGTGTCAATATGCGCCGCACACACACACACACACACAAAGGCACACACAATCAAGCACATTGGGTATCCGGGTATCCACAAGTGTTTGAGGTGCTTTCTGGATAAAATAATAATTTGTATTGCGAAAATTGTTCAAAGAACTCGAAGAACACAGGCAAAAGGGAGAATATAGATATATATATATATATCGTATGTGTATTAATTTAGACAATTACAGACTGTGGGCAAGCTAATATGAGAAGGAGGACGAAGTGTTAGGCTCCTCGTTAAAATTTTAACGTCTAGAAGGAGAAATCTCCGATCTTGTAAATTATATATATTCTTGATCAGCTTCAACAGCTGTAGATATAGCCATGTCCGACTTCTGTTTCTATGCAAATAAGTCTTCGGTTTTAGCTCTTTAGTAATGAAACTTTGCATAGGCCTGAAATTTGTTGCAGGCTGTACATTTTTCGGAACCATAAAAGATCGTTCAAAAAATAAATTCTTGTATAAACCTTTTTTGTTTAAAAAGCAACTTGATGAAACTCAAAATGTATCAGTTTAGCTATAGTCCTCTCCAATAAGTCATATCTTATGATTCAATGATTCAATGTTGCACTATTTCATTTATCACTAGAGGAAGAATCGGTTAAATATGTAACTTAAGATATCTTTACCAAACCCAGCATCTACGAGTTTCACTATTCTCTTCACACAACTGCAAGACCGCAATCCATAAGGGTATTTACTAATCATATCTATATTAATAACAAAAATAAAATTTGTAAAATCGAAATCTTAAACTTCCTAAAGACAACAATTTGTATAGCAAATCTAGTCAACCCTCGGGTAAACGCGGTCTATTTACTATATTGGCAGGAACTTCCTGCTTTTCACTGATTTTAGCATGACTTTATTTTTAATAAATGAAAAATTCAAAATTAAAATTTTTATTTTAAAACTAATTGTAACCTTTTAGCACCAACTTTGAGCATTCATTCAATTCCTGTTATTCTTTGACGGAAGATTAATATTGTTTTTCAAATTAAATAAACGCATAAATATAACATTAAAAAAAAAAAACAATGACAATGTACATGCAAATTGTTGCTGAAGTCTCTCACTTTAAGTCATTTCTATTCGTAACATTTCCTTTTGGGCATAGCCCATTATTATCTGTCTGAGGCACCACAACACGCTACGTATTTAGAGCTCCTTGTGCCATCGCCGGTCCACGTGACCCTTACCTACCCCAACTTGAGGTGGTGTCAGTTCCACTACCTGTTCGTGTCTGTTCCACATTTCCGAAACTGGTTTGCGTCCAAAAACACAAATATAGAAAGAGACATAAACAAAAGGCAAAGGCAAAAAACATGTTGATGCGTACTTGCACTTTCTTTCAATTAGCTCCCAGCTCCCAGGTTAGTTTCTTTCAGCACGGGTCTAACTTTCGTTACTGGCTCTTAATACCCTAATTACCGCATATTTAAGCCGAATCGCTGGATGGGGCGTGGGTGCTAGAGCCGAGAAGAAGAAGTCCAATTATGGTGCGGCTCGCGTGACTGTCAGCTGTCAGCGGTTCGCGCCAGCGGCAAGTCTCGATGAAAGGCGCCGTTATGTTGGCGGCCAGATATCAACATATTTGGCAACTGGTATCTGGACTTTGGAGTTCTTAAGACGTTGTCGGCGGCGCGTCTCTTTCAGTTGTCTCTTGAACGTTGCCCTGATCATGTCGTGGAATATACTGTGGATGTGTCTTTGGCTGCTGCTGCGGCAGATTGTTGTTATCCTGGCCCTCTATGAGCAGTGCAATCATCAGCTGGAGCTGCTCGCGGGCCAGAAAATGTACATCAACTCGCCCTACTATCCCGCCCAGTATCCAGCGGGCAGCTCCTGCCGTTACGCGCTCAAAGCGCCCAAGGATCATGTGCTACATTTCAAATGTGAGCTGCAGCTGCAAACGGTGGGTCAGCAATTTATATGATAAAAGGATTATGTTAAATACGTGCCAGTGCTTGTGACATGCAGCATAAACATTTGTTTAAAGTTGTGTTTAAAACAAGGATGCAAGACTAAAAAAAAATTATCGGTGGTTTACGGTTTGAACCAACGTCTTGGTTCTCTTAGTAATTTTGATGATTTATTTGTGCACCAGGATTGAAGTTTGATCCTTTTTTCGACGAATTCAGTTATTTGAATCAATAACTTTGTTATATAACTTTATTTTTGGATGCTCCACTCAGCAGATGGATCCTAGGATCGATCCTTACAGCAGCTTATTAGTAGTTTTTATGAAAAATTGGATCCCGCCAGTTCCTTAGGCTGTGAAAGATAGAAGATAGACATTGTATAAAAAACAGTTACTCTTCACTTTGTAAAAGAGTACAATATTGGATCGGTTCAAACTAAATTTGTAGCCTTGGTTTTAAGGTATAATATAAGTGTATAAGTGCGGCTTTGATCATGCGGACTTTGGTAGGATCATCAATTGTGAACTTTAAATAAATGTCTAAATGCTCTGTATGACAGAGATACCGATCTAAGCAAATGCAAGACACCTTTAGTTCCTTTATGTGAGCATAAATTCTAGCCCTATCAAAGTGTACGAAATTCTACGCTTTTTCCTATATAAGTATTTTGTCAAATTGAATAACGATCTGACAGTCTAATACTAAAATTACATCAATATACAGTTTATTATTTGAAATGTGATCTTCGTAAAATGTATGTGGATATATGGACTATATGGACTATATATGCATAAAACTGTAGGTATTGTGGATATCAAGTCTTTTAATTTTACAGTTTTATGTTAATGTAAATAACAAAAAAATGATAGACAGGGCTTTATTGAGCCGACATTTATAAGAATGAGCAATAACTTCGTCTATAACGAAGTCTCATGGCAATAATTTAATTTTTTTTGTCTCTTATAGTACAAAGCATAGATACACTTTTATGCAGGATACAGCTTTGTCATGCAATCTGCCTGTTAATTTGTTAATTGTTGCACAATTGTTTTTTCTGCCCCATAGCTAGTGAAGGACACGCGCTGCCGCGCTGAGGTGTTTCACTTCAATGCCGAGGGCGACGAGCTGTTGACGAGCTCCGAATACTTTTGTGGCGCTGGCAAGTTCGAGCGTCAAAGTTTTCTGAATCGTGCCGTGATTTCGTACATATCGCAGAGAAAGGAGGCGGCTACAGCTGCAGTTCCAGCTACCTTGGTGCCAAAGTTAAGGGATAAGCTGCCAACGCGAGCCACGAGCACGAGCACCAGCAGCAGTAGCACAACAACTACAAAGGCGCCCCCAGTGGAGCAGGAGGACCAGGAAGATGAAAAGGAAGCAGGGCAGCAGGATGACGATGATGATGATGATGATAACTTTACGAACGAGGTGCTGCACGTGCTGCAGGATGTGGGCGTGAGCGATGCTTTGGCTTACGTCGCCTCGCTGCTCTACGATGAGCCCAACAATGGTCGTCGAATTGGTAGCACGCCCGCACCAGCTTACTTGGCCCAGTTGCCAGGCCGCACTCCAAAGACTTCCGCAAAACGTGGCAAAATTTTGTCCGTTTATCCGCTGGGCGTGCCGGGCGGTGGTCGCTTCTCCTGCCTGGTCGAAGCCCTATCGCCTAATTGCAATTGCGGCTGGAGTCGGACACAAAGAATCGCCAGTCCAACAAACGACGAGGCTTCCCTGCACGAGTTTCCCTCCATGGCCGGTGTGCTGACCAAGAAGCAGGGCAAAGTCTTTTGCGGTGCTGCCATCAGTAAGTGGACAGCTTGGCATATAGAGAGTGTTAACACTTACCAACAAGTCTTCCCTTTCCGACAGTTCATCATCATTACTTGCTCTCGGCGGCACACTGTTTCCTCAGTCCAGAGACGAGCCACGCCGCCCTGCTGCGCATCGTTGTTGGCGAACACGATCTGTCCAGCGCCTACGAGACCCTCTTCACGCGTCGCTACGATCTGGACGCGCTGATACTCCACGAGCAGTTCAGCCAGGCGAATGGCCAGCTGCGTAATGACATCGCCCTGCTGCGCACCCGCACGCCCATCCAGTTTAATCGCAGCGTCGGGCCCGCCTGTCTGCCCCTGCAGCCGGCAGCGAATGGCCGAAAACTGCCGCTGGTGGGCCAACAACTGCTGGCTGCCGGCTGGGGCACCACATCCTATGGCGGACCGCAGACGCATCGCTTACTGAAGACAACGCTGGACGTGATCAGCGCCGAGCAGTGCCGCAGCTCGCTTAGTGAGGGATCCGTGCCCGTTCACAGCTTTTGCACCTACACACCTGGGCGAGATACCTGCCAGTACGACTCCGGCGGTGCTCTCTACGAGCGCAGCAATGGCCGCCTCATGGCCGTCGGCATTGTCAGCTATGGCTACGCCTGCGCCACGCAGCAACCATCTGTTAACACACGAGTGGCCTCCTTTATCAAGTGGATCAGAACCAAGACGCCAGAGGTGGCTTACTGTCTCAAGCAAATATGAAAAGAGAAGCCAGCCAAATTAAAGCATAAGAAAGAAAACTTGTTGTTAGAGTATATTATGTGCAGATGTACGGCAAATGTATTCACTAAAATAATTAATTTGTTCCTTTACGCAGATTTATAAATATATAGTTGTCCGTTTGTGATTTTTTTAATATATATATACTTCGTACAGTATATGCTATAGTTATAAACTATCACTCCAAACTTTTTTTTTTAATATCACTGGCTTCTAGAACCTTTGGCTTAGACAATACTAGCCTGGGATTCAGAGCCAGAAAGACTTCTATAGCTCACATAGACAGCATATCTACCGAGGACTATACAGCAAAGATTTTCCAAATTAAAGCATTATTTATTCAGGTTTATTTTAGGATATGATACTTCAGAAGGCGGATGCTTGGTCAAACTGTCTTGAATGCAAAAAATCGGTGTTAACTTGCCAATTTTTAGATTCTATACAGAAACTAAGCTAATTATTGCTCATTTATGTTAATGACCGAATGTAAACATGCCTATCGATATGCTCATTGAGCGAACCAGTTCAAGTTCTCTGAACTACTGTAAAAATAATCTTGTTTTTAATATAATTTGCATACCGACCAGATCTAAAGACTCAAACGAAAATGAATTTGTGAAATCTCACAGAGTTGTTTTTCAACAAATATTCACAGCAAGGCACGTAATACAGTAAATAGCTCTTACGTCCTTGGCTGTACATTTGTCATCAATCAGTAAATCGTCAATCAGCCAGACTAAAGAGTTAAGTAAGTATATATGTAGATAAGTGCGACGAATATAGGATCTTACAGTAAAACTGGTCAGTTCTTCTGGCTGATACATTATATTGTGATCTGATGTTAGCCAAATTTAATCAGCCTTAGAATTAAGAGACTAACTTCTTTATCAACTTAGCTCAAAGTTTCGATCAGGCGCAAGAAGAACTGTATGATCTTACGCACAGGTAAGTGTATCGGGATTTGTTGCGTGAAGACCGAACTAGTTCATTTTAGAAAATCTGGCCTGCCGTTCGCTGCTTGGTTCCAGGCAACTCATGCTACCTGCTGTCAAGTGGGTGTCAAGTTTGGCGCTATGCTTGAACGCTTTGTCAACAGGCGCATCAAGCCAATTCAGTCATCAATCATGCATGGAAATCTTAACGCCTGGCTGGCGCTCTATGCCCCGCCGCAGATTGCAATTAAGCGCAAATGTCAACTAATTAACCTCAATGGCTGACTGCAGGCAATACGAGTTCGTGGAGCAGATACAACAGCCTCTTTCCCACTTGCCATAACCAAGCGTCATGTCCTGATGTCCTGTCAATAAAAATGCTGCATTTTTGCAATGTTTTTGCGTTTCACAGATTTGCCCTTTTTATTTATTTTTGGATTTTTTTGCCTTTTTGCTGCTGCGCCGTCTGTTGTCGTCTTCCTTTCAAATAAATAATTAAACGTTTGCCATAACATATGAAGCATGCTTTTAGGCTTAAAGGCAATACAAATCGTCTGCCAGTCACTGTCTATGCGGTTGCTGCTATTTTTGTATATCCCCTTGCCGCCAAATAAATATTTGTTTTTATTTTTGCGTATACTCTAGGAGTATCGGGTATGATGAAATCGCCACGAAATGTGCAACACATTCATCCGTCTGTTCGTTTGCTGGTGATCGAATCCAGGTCGGATTAGTTATAGCTTTTATACGAACTAAGCAAGACCGATTATGATATAATAATGTAAACAAAAATGCTTTTTATAGAATCATTTCCTTTTAGACCGATTGTTTTAATGCAGCTATATGAGTGGTCCGATCGGACTAGTTCCGGTACAAGTATTGCCTGCATCAGCAATATGGATCTTGGCAAAGTTTCATGACGATTTCTGAAAAACTGTGAGGGAATGTATTTACTTATCAGAAATATATATACTTTATGGCGTCTACTTCTATGCTACTTATATACATTTCGTGACAAAATGTACCTAAAGAATAAATAATGGGGGATAAATAACTGGCATCAAAAACGGCGTAGAAGGGTATTTAACATTCGATTCCGCACAAGGACAACTGGTTTTTCTTGCATATGTATTTTCCTTCTTTTTTTTTCTTTTCATTATGTTTGTCTAACAGCAATGCACTTTTCTATACCCAGTCGCATACATACGAGCAAGTCCGTCCGTTTGGCTGTCTGTCTAACTAAGCCGCCTGCATTTGGGCGCTGCTGCAATGCAAGAGTATTGGCCGCTCTGCTTCTTCCTTCTGTGCCTGTTTCTGTGTTTGTTTGTTTTATTTGGGACGTGGCTCATGTCTGTGCCTCTGCCTTGTGAGGCTCTGCTGCTCGGCTCTGTTGTTCAATTTACGTAAAACGCGGCAACGTCAACTGCAGTCGGCGGCATCAAGTGTTGCGTGGTGCCTGCATTGGCCGGTGGGCGTGGCACCAGGCATAGAAATCGCTGGCATAGACTGAGGCACTAATTGAAAAGCAGCAGCCACTAACAGAAACAACAGCATTGGAGGAGCATCAGCCCCAGTTTCAGTGTGCCAGCTCTGGGGAAATGCAGTTTTTCCACAACAGTTAAACTACAGTAAACCCTGCTTATGGTTACTCCAAATGGTTGCAGGATTAAATAATAGCTAGTGGTTTTAGATCAGCCAAAAAATAGCAAGGAAATTTTAATGCTCCCCCTATTCAAATATTATAAATTCAAAAAAACCTAGATCAAATCAATTTAAGTTAATAACTTTCTTGATTTGATTTTTTTCGTATTATTTTAGATCTCTTTTTAAATACTTTTATCTCAATCAATCTCTCGAATGTTTGTTTTTCCATAACACATCCTCCGACCAGAACAATTCACACTGTATGAAGAAAGCGCATTGGCTGCTTTTTTGCACTTTTTTCCCTCTCCGACGTTTTCAAATTTCCTTTGCATACTTTTGTGCTGCATTTGATTACAAAATGGCGTCGATGATGGGGCTTCTCTGCGACTGCGACTGCGGCCGCTGCAGTCGTAATACGCGCCTAAACATTGCCATTTAGTTTTCGTTTTGGTGCGCCGCCGACACGCCAAAAAGTATGCAATGCGAAACGCAGCGCAACTGCGCTTAGACTTTGACTATTCATTAGCGTGTGTGCCAAACTCTAACAAGCTCAAAAAGCAATTTGCAGCAGGCAGCTAAAAATTGGCAAAAATATCGACATGCTGGCTTGTGGAATTGACGTTTTGGGTGGACGGCCCCATATGATGCTTAGTGGGTGGGGATCCAATTCGGCCCGTTACATAAAACCACGCGTCGCACAAAAGCCGCCAAATCGTTGTACACAAAACACCGAAATACAAAATGGCTGCCATATCAGTATAAAAGTGCAAATGATTGAGCTTCCACAAATCGGTTTCACCCAAAAATCGCCAATACATATGCAAATTGTTGCACGAAAACTATGTACAACGATGCGAAGAATTGTAAAACTCTGTCTTATCATTGGTTATCCTGGCTATATGGCATAAAGTGTAGCTCGTTGTATTATTCTCCACATGTCGGCGAACTTGATGAGATTTTTTTGATGGGAACACATGTATATTACATTTTTTTCTGCCCTGGCAAACGTTTTGGTTTTATTTTTATTTATCGGCCACAATGTGTGGTCAGAAATTAGCGTCGCTTTGTTGTCCACGTAGTAGGCCAATTAAATCCGTTCACATCAATAAAAACATGGAGAAATGCATGTTTGCCCTTTTGGTTTTATGTCCAAGTTCCGCCGGGTACCAATGATAAATATAAGAGCCCAATTTTTGGAAAGGTGCAAGCACTTTAACTTGTGTGTTGTGTTTCATTTGGGATTTTTATTATAGGTAAAATGGGCTTTTACGAAAAACGGGCTTACAAATTAAGCCTTACAAGACATGATTTTTCTCTCCGTTTCTGATGGGTGTCGTGCTTGCCTAGGGTATCGCACCGCCAAAGTCTGGAACTTGGCTTACTGCAAGTTGAAGAGCAATCACCATGGCCACTATGCCTATGTGAACAAACACTGTACCCGTCTCGTCTGATGGCTGGATCAAAACCTCTAATGGCAAGACTCCTCGGATGTGGAATCTGCATGACGGTAGGAACGTGTGTATCCTGGAGCACCAATGTCCTGTGCTTCTCGCCCAACCATCACTGGCAGACCCTGCTCGCCGGCAAATATTGCAGCATTATCCGCGTATGGTCAGCTCCACTAAACGGACTTTATATTTGAGATAGCCTGTATAAATCGATGTGAAATTAATTTGTTTGCCAGAATAATTAAATGTCCCAAAAAAACTTACAATTTTTACCCAGGCTCCAGGCTACCGTTACGTATTATATGTCTTATGACTTTATATGGTCCGAGTCTCTGTATGTATTTTTACTATCAAAGTGTTTAGATACCTTTAAAATTATTTTCCATAGAAAAATAGAAAACGATTTAGTCACTATAAACACAGGGATTTGATCGTTTCTATTTAAAAGAACTAATTTGGAAAACATTTTTAAACGTTGCATATGACCTTCCATGTGAAACTGCACTCAGAACATGGGCTCCCCTGCTTTTTTCTTGCTTCATTTGAATTTGATTTTATGTGATTTTGTCCAAGACTCACTTCGATAATATCAAAATGCGTATTGGACAATACCACATCTGTTCGGAATATGCAGTTACAATGAATCAACTTATAGATATTTTGAGACGCTATTTTAAGGCTATATAGCGAAGTTGCCATAGATCATCCTTCTTCTAAATTCTGACCAACGATATTTTGCATTTTGCGATCTGAATTCATCATTCAGCGAATGCCTCATAAATGGGTGTGGGTTTTTCTTTGAACTGCGCTTCTCGGAAGTTTTGCGATCCCTCATATAGTCGAAGGAATAGTCGTGTGCTCTGCGTACCGAATCCGTATAAATCGAATTCTCTTGTTGCTTGGGGAGATTGCCGTACATGCGATGTCCCACAATGGATTTTGTTACATTGCGTACCATGTGGGGGTAGTTGCGTCGCAGAAGGAACGACATTCTCAAAAATATACAAAGTTAATTGAAATTTTGAATTTTGTTTCGTTAAGCCAAATGTATTTTAGCTCGCTCTCGTTGAGCACTCGGATGTTAAAACAAAAATAAAATAAAAAATTTATGTTTTTCGTTTTATATATTTCGCATGACATACTTCGCTTATATACTTTATGTTTTTATTCGGCGAATTCAAAGAATTATTGCAGAAGTATTATAATACAGGAAAATTTCTGCCTCTGCTGAATGCAATCTTCATTAAAAAGTTCATGCAGAAAATAAAATAATTGATATAGTATTAGCTTGGGTTTGGATTTGAATTCTAAGTAAGATACAGCTTTATTCTACTACTTAGATCTACTATTCGTAGATTTAGCAAACAAAGAGCAAGTCTTTTGATTTACCAATTAAATGTAAGTCTTATATCTTTGCTTTATGAAAAGCATTGAAGATCAATTGATTCAACAGAATATACATATATAGAATAAGTTTAATAATTTATTTTATTGTCCATATGTTTATTGAGTTTATACCAAATGTATTTTAGCATAATATCGCTCGTAGGAGTTCTATTGAAAAAATCTAGATTTTTGCTATTTTTGGTTGTTACTGAAGGTAATACATATAAATTTTTGCATATTTGGGCATAAGGGGAAAAATCCAACATGTTCCTGATACTTCTTTAAGAACTTTGCCTTTTTTTCGAAATATTCTAAAGCTTCAAATAGTTTATAAAGGCTGTGGTTATGCTAATTTATTAATATAACCGATAAATGTATCTGCATACTTGCCATCAGTCTTCATATTCGGGTTAATTTCATTAAATATCCTCTATATATCATGGGTACCGTAGATCATGCGTCGGCGAAAATCTGCCCAACGATAGCGCGCATTCCAATGGTGCACTTGGGGATCCTTGGTTTTGCCTTGCTGATGGTGATTTATAAAGTTCTGGACAAAACTGCTTGGTGCATGATGATATTCTGGATTAGGCTCTCTACGTTGCTGCATCATGTTGCTTTTGATTAGAGCCATTTGAGCCTTGGACTTATTTTGGTGATGGAATTTGCAAATGGAATACGGCAACTTGCTTTGGTTTAATACAAGACATTTCGAAAACATGTCAAAATAGTCAACAATTCTAACGTGTTCTTAAAATGATATTAATAAAATACGAGTGATTTGGATTTGTGCTTCAAATTCCCAGATCCTCGTACGAAACAAAAGTACAAATGTTTATGAATATTAAGTGTCTAAATAAAACAGATTTAAAACTGGCAACATATGAAACACAGCTGACTTTGATGGGGCTGTGGAAACAGTATTTCAATAGCAAACTATAGAAATACACAAATACGTTCAGTTGTCGGCAGATGCCTCAGTAGTAAAATAATAATTATTCAAATAATATGAAACTAGAGGAAAATTAAATAATAATAAATAAATACATATTCTTAGATAATAAATATTTAACAATTATTTTGACAATACAAATTATAATACCAACTTAAATATAATAAATAATAGATTTATAAATGTATAGTAAAAAAAATTAAATAATATTAGTTATAAAAAATGAATTAATAATTATTATTAAAATAATAATGTTAATAGTTATATTTACTGTAATTATAGTAATAATAATAATTATACAAAATCACATATAATATATATAAAATATATTGACTTTAATTACGACTGGATTTACTCATAATTCTTTATATAATTATTTTATAAAATAATAAGTAAAATACAAAAATAAATAAAATTATTTTAATTTTAATAATAATAGCATTAATGATAGAAATAATATATTCTTAATACATAGTGTAATAATAATGTATAATAAATATTTAAATATGTTGACACAAATCATATATTAAGTCCAACAACTTGTTCTTTCTGGAATGGACTTACAGATAAAGAACTTTTCACATTTTTTAACATTGTAAACAAAAATAATATTAATAAAAAAAAAAAAATTTTTAGTAATAACAATGATAAGAATAATTTAATACATATTTAAATATATTGACCTTAGAAGTATATTAAGTCCAACAACTTGTTTTTTCTCGGCTAGATTTACCGATTCACAGTTCTTCATATTTCAACATTTGTCATCCGTTTTATTAATATTCGTGAAGAGCTCTTACCCCGTTTTCGTGCTACTTAACACGCAAGTTTGCTCTTCAGAAACTAGCGACATACTTTGTCATATTTTCACGTCCTTTCTGTGAATAAAGGAGACATGGAAAAGCAACAACAGCAGAAAGTGGCTAAAGAAAGGACCGAATACAAATAAGAGTGCACTCAAGTAATACGCTTCATAATTTTTATTGTCAAGTCTTTTGGGGGTTTGAGCTCTTGGCGTCGTTGTTGGCCCACTCGACAACAAAAGCTGGAAAGCGCTTGCCATGAAAGAAAAACAACAACAAAATATCAAAAACAAAAGCGAAATGGAAAAAGGCAGAAAATGAAGTGCAGCCAGCACAAGAGATTGCAACAAAGCAGAGAACCATTTTTTTCAAAGCAGCATAAATTTCATAATATACAAACAAATCAATGGGGGGGAAAACACAAGCGCCAGTGCAAAAGGATTACGGCCAGGACATGACGGTGTCGAGGATCCAGGGTCGAGGGTCCAGGCCACTTCTTATGCAAAGCACTGGCCCACTACCAGAACAGAACAGCACAGCATCTGCACTGCCTGCTGCCGTTTCCCTCCCCCCGCCATAACCCTCTTGGCAGTGGCACGCAATTAACTTGCCTGTGATTTCATTTTTTGAGCTCATTGTTTTTGTTAAGTTGTTGCCGTTTCTAGTGCTTTGCGCGAGTTAATTTCAATGCACAAAATTTCTACATATATATTGTATATATATGTATATATGTGCATACAGTTACATTTCATTTTATGTACATAAAATCTGCAATTCATTATACCCTAAGCCCAGGGAAAATGGTAAAAAGGGTATACTGTTTTTTGAGAAATTATGTAACTCGAAGGAAACATCTCCAATTCCATATGATATATATATTTTAGAACAGGTCAAAATATTTCAATCTTTTCGATATATTTCCTTCTGTCTAGCGGCAAGTTGCCCGTGGCAAATTTTCTGCTTCAGATTTAAACTTTTACTTTTTTACCCATTTCCCGCTTGTGAAAATTTTTATTAATACCGGCTATCGCTAATTAAATTTAATTAGCGATATAAAACAATTATTTGTAACCCATTGAATGAAAAGCTAAAAGTTGGTATCAATATTTTCCGCACATATTATTCCCGTGGTGTAAAGCTTGAACTGCAAAAAAATGTTCATTCATTCAACCTTTGACCTGCATTTTCCCACAAAAGTGCAGCCATTTTCCGCCAATTTACCACAGAAGTTGTCATGTAGGGCTTGGAAAATAAATTTGAAGTCGATCTGACAAAATGAAAAACTACGCCAGAAAATGTTTAACTCGCATTTTCCTGGCCATAAAAGCTTGGTTTTTGTGAGAATGCATTTTCACAAAGAGCGTACGGGTGGAATATCCCAATACTCAATAATCTAAGCGTGCATCTCATCACAAAAGGTAACTGCAGTAAAAATGTAAGCTTCCTGGCTCTTACGGTTTGGGCTGTGAAATAAACAGCAATAAATCAGACAGTCACTCAGTTATTCACGATAAACAAATATATATATATATATATAAAAATAATAACATTATCAAAAAAAAATGCAGATCCGCTGAATAGAGGATGCAGTTCGTGGCGTGCGCGGCTATATTCGTAAGGGAAGATTGCCGCTGGGTTCAGGGTATCTTGTAGTCGCGCACTTCTAACGGGAGCACTTGTTGGGTTCTGCACTTGTTAGCATAATTAGTCGGTCGCGTCAGCGTTTGGGCCTAGTCTTTGATATGTCCCGCGCCAAAATGGGCTAAGTACTAAAGGGCGGCAATTAACAAAGAGTTCATAATTGTTTAATTATATTTTCTGCTCTCGCTAAAGAGCTAAGCTGAAATAGTGGATATGGAAAGCATACGGAAAAGAAAGAACAGCTTATGGTCTTGCATACATATATATTTTTAATTGCAACACTGTGGGAACACAGAACCGCACAGTATGTACTTTTAATTTTGGTAAAATGGTTTAACTGCGTGTCCAATTTTTTAACATGAAATTTGTTGAGTTGCCTCTCAGAAATTCGGAAATAATTTAGAACTGATGCCAAAGTAGTTGAAACTATGCATGCATAGCTATATATATATATATGCAGACTATTGGGCAGAATTATATTACTAAAAGCTCGTACCGCCATATATCATGCGATGGCGAAACTCGGCCCAGCTGTTGCGGTGGGTTCTATAGGTGGTGTACGGCGCGATCACCTTCTTTGAGAGGGCTGACTCGGGATAAACTGGTCGGTGCTTGGTCATTCGTCTCAGTAGATCGGCATCTGCTTCACGCTGTTTTTCCTGCTCATCCTCGTTGACTTCCGGAACACCAAAGACCGCATCCCGCACAGTTCGCAGCTCCCGATTAGTTTCATGATCACCCTCTTTGTGCGAACCCGCGGCATTCTCAACCACTATGGGCTCTTGTTTCTCATTTATTTCAGTTTTATCCATTGACCCCCGTCTCATGCTAGCATTTTTGGCAGCCAGTATATTGTTGCGTCGGGGCGTGGAGCCTCTACGGTTAATTAATTGATTTTGGGTTACATTATTGGTGCCGAATTTTCTAAAGTTGGTCCAGTTTCGATTTTGACGGAGAAGTTGGACAGCCGCATAGCCTTCTTCTCGTTTCGGCCACGAGAGCCTATCGCTCATCTTGACGCTCAGTCCGAATGCATCGTAGCTCTTCTCCAGAAGGGTCCTGCCACTATAATGCCGCTGATAAGCGCGCATTGTCTGTGATATCCGTTGCACGGCCGAGACACTTTTTGTCGGCATTATCGAAAATATGTAACCGAAACTTTTATGTATAGCCAAAGTTTAAATACGTTTGTCCTACTTCTGGGCAACGCGTCTAAAAAAAAATATTTTTCGAAAAATTTTAAATTTGGTTGACCACGTTAGACAGGATATTTGAAAATGAGGCAATGAACAGTACGACTACGAATTTGTTACTCTTACTGACAATGACAAGAAATGAAACGACTGCTCGACATCAAAACCCAATACAAAGTTCCACACCTAAACGATTGCTTGAAACAATATTAATATATATATAATATAATATATTTGTGCTTATATTTATTTATTTATGCGTATTTATTGCCAGCAGAATTCAATTAAAAAACCTACTTGTGTTGCGTTTCAAACCAAATTACAAGTGCACACAAAAAAGCAAAAATATACCATAAAACAATTTTCCTCGTCGCTGGAACATTTATTAATTTTGCAGCAGGCAACAGCCGCAGATGACTTTGGGGTTGAGCTTTACTTGGGAAAGACCTATGCAAAATTTAACGCAATTTTGAGATAACAAAAAGCCGACAACACAAACGTCGCCAAGAAATTGAGTTAGCATACAATTACAACAACAATTATGAGTTGCATTTTACAATAAATGAAAATAAAACAACAATAACAACAAGTAGCTGACTAGTGAATGCCCTTAAAAGTAAAATGTTGAAAGTAACTGCGTTTTAAATGTGTGAAACAAGATACTACAGAACCAAAAATAATTCCAGATTAATTTAAATGTATTTTAGAAAATTTTTCGCTTTCAAAAGAAAATTAGTTTTTGGTAATCTAACTAATAGCATCATATCAAAAATGTAATCTCTGGTAAGGTAGCTTAGCATCTTAGCTTTTTGGGGCCTACAAATGAAGAACATATTTTGTATTTTTTTAAGTAAAAACTTTCAAGCAAAAAAGCAATGCAAAAGTTTGTTTTTAATTTAATAATCTTTTCTGATTAGGCTTTCAACTTATTTTATTTTATTCTTTTGTATTAAATACTTAGGTGGCACTTGATTCGTCGACTGTTTATAAATAAATAGAAAATAAAGTTTAATCCATAAATAAATAAATAAAATAAATCATTATTGTGCGCAAAACACCCGCTAATTTTTATGCATTATTTAAAGATGAAGCTACCGTAGAGAAAATCATTTTCGTTCTTACCCGCATATAAAAATGCTAGATTTTTTTTTATTGTTATCTAACAAAATTATATTTATGCATATATATTAATATAGTATGTTCAACCAACTCTTGTGTGTTGCAGAGCTTTACTTAAATATAAAATAAACGAACACGAACTCGACGCACAAAAAAATGTAATATATGAGCCAAGTCTTTTCAATGAATACCAAAGTAGGCATCAGATTTAAAATTCGTTTTAATTTTGAATAAACTTGTTCAGCTTGATTATAAATTTGTAAAATAAACTTTCGGTCTTAGCCATATGATATCAAACGATCAAAATAACCATAAACTTAAAGTACTTAGCTAGGGTAAGTGTATAAAATGTCAGTACATTTTATTGTAGTTGGTGGAAACTATGCACGGAGCTGTAGGCTGCTTGGCCAGAAGGATGGGCTGTAAGTTTGTGCATTGTTTAAATATAGGCAAAACATGTCACAGCTTTTTAATTTAAATGCAAATTAAGGCTTTTGTCAACACTTCAAGACTGCAAAACTGAGGCGAAAGAAGCAACAGCAAGAGGAGCAGCAGCAGCAGCCGAAGAAGATGCTGGAGCGGTAAATGCCTGAGGGGCAATGCCAAGAGAGTTGTCTGGCAATTGTCGAGAGTTTTCCAGCTGCCAGCTGCCAGCTGCATATGGCATTGCGAAGCCCAACAGTCAATAAACACCAGCCACTCCTCTAACGCGCACAAACCGAGCCGCCCAAATAGCGCCAAAGCCAGTTGAGATGTGCCGAGACGCGAGTGTTGACTCCAATGCCAAAGCGCTGGCCACAGGCGCGTCCGTAGCTGATGATGCCGAGCAGGAACATGCGTGAGCGTTGGCGCTGGATAACGGGTCCGCCCGAATCGTACTGGCAGGAGTCCTGGCCCAATCCCGTATGATCGTAAGTGCACACCTGATTGGGGGCTATGGTGACATTATACCGGACACTGCACTCAGTATTCACAATGGTCATCAATCGGGCCTTTTGCAGCGTGTTCGATTTGGCAAAACCAAAGCCCAAAGTGCCCCAGCCAGCAATATCGACCAACTCGTAGGTTTCCGCTCTAATGAAATTGCAAGAAATAAGTGAAGATTGTTAGATCACAATAGACATTAAACTGAGCTCGATTTGCAGTAATTCCCAACTCGTTTAAGTTAATAGTTTAGTATGATAGATTCGTGAAATTACTTACTATTTAATTATTTCGCTGGAATTCAAGATTAACATTTTGAAGTGACCTAATAAGTTTAATATATTTTTGTTGATACATAGTTAATTCTCAGTTAAATCTTGTTAAATATACTCATAAGATAAGTTTTACCTAAATGATAAAATCATAAAATTTCGCTTTTAAATTTATATAAAAGAAGAGTTTGAGTCCACCTGAGATAAAATTCTTACGTCAGTAAGTTAACTGCTGTTCTCCACCCAAAACCTTTTAGATAGATAGGATAGACCTTTTTTTTTAATAAATGAGATAATTACTGTGGCTGTAAAATATTTTGTGCTAGATTGATATGAGAGAGAGCCGCCTTTTACGGCATGCCGAAGATTAAACACCCATAGAGTTTTGTGGATGTGTGAGGATAGTAGTGAAGTTCGTATAGCTTATTTGTTCAAGATGTCTTGAAGAATATAAAAGTTTTTCAGAGTTTGGTAAAGTTATGATATTGTTTTGTGATTTAATAAATATTCCGTCTATAAGTAATATAAATGGCAAATTTGCTTAAAATATTTGTAGGAACAAACGAGAAGGTAAGGATATCTTCGGCACGCCGAAGATTTAATGACCAGAATAGTGAAGCTTGTAAATGCTGAGAGTTTGAGGAATATATCTTGGTAAACAGAATATTTTGCCATCCAAGAACTTAATTTTCGACCGATATAGCTGCGCAGCTAAATGACATACATACAGTGAGCATAATAGAATAGAACCAACTTTCGGAACTATCTGTATATGTTAATCTAGAATTTTTATGGAGTCGGAGGTGTCTCCTATGTGTTACACATTTCATGACTATATACTTGTATATTTTGCGGTCTGACATGTGTTATCGTTAGGGTTTGATGGCTTCAGTTACTGGAGATAACGTATTTCCGGTATTTAAAGCTGCTTTCAGCTCTTATAGTTAACAGGGTATACTTAAAGCAGTCGAGGAATCGGCTGCCTAGTTAAAAATTGTAATAAATACTTTGACTTACAATTGTGTCTGTCCAAAGGGCAGGCAAATGGGCGCCACGCCTCGTGAAAATTCGATTGGTGCCAATGTCTGGAGCAGAGCGATATCGTTTGTATCTCCAATGCTGTTGTAGGCCGGATGATTGATAATGGTTTGTATGGCATATTGAAAAGCGAACATCGATTCGCTAGCTGTTAAGCAAAAAATTAGTGAGTATAGGTCCTGAGAAGAAGAAAGAGTTCTTACCACTGCTGAGATCGTGATCACCCACCAGAGCCAAGAGTCGAGTGGCCAATCGCTGGACCGTGCAATGCGCTGCGGTGACAATGAAGCGATCACTGACGATGCTGCCGCCACAGAAGATGGGCTGATTGGAGCCAATCTCCCGCAGACCCACCATTGAGGGATACTCGTGCTTGGTCGCCTCGACGCCGTTCGTGATGCGCGTCGGCTGCGACCAGCCGCAGTCGCAGGGCACGCGACGTGCCACCGCCTGGCAGCTCAGCCTGGCGCGCTGCTGGGTTGAGGCACTGATCGACTGGTAGCCCAAGGCTATGGATTGATAGTTCGAGGTGCGGGACACTTGACCCATGCGACAATAGCGCTCGGCATCACGGAATTCCATATCTCCGTCGCGTGAGATGAAGAGAAACTTGGACTGACAGATGTCGGGATACTAAAACCAAACAAGAGTCACAGAAGCTGCCAGCCTGGTAAGCAATCGTTATTTGTCGTTACCACTTCGAAGCGACAAGTCAGGTGTATCACATGATTGGGAGGCGCTTTAATCTGGTAACGACAGCTGCTGCCCGCTGGCAGAGCCCTTGGAAAATTAGAGCTGGTTATGTTGATGAGTTGATTGGTCTGCAGGTTGTAATGCCGGCTGCACTGCTGGCCGTCCACCATGCTGAGCATCAGTGGCAGCAGCAGCAGCAGCATCAAACTGGGAGATGGCGGCTCGAACATTCTCACAGAATATTATCTCAAGTATTATCGACAGCGACTGCAAGTGGCATCACATGCAGTGCCAGCTCTTATATCAGAATTGGGGAGCCATAAAACAAATAAAATATATTTTAAATAAGTCAGTCCCCTGACGAAAGTAGATTACGATGTCAATGCCACGACTATTGACTCTTTCGGCTGTGTGATTTTCAGCCCCTGCAAATAGTATAAAAGCCAGTTATTCATCAAATATGTATATTGTTACCTTTATGCAGGGATCTGAATAATAATATGAAGCATATTTTTGCTATATTTCTTAATAACTATAAGCGATTGCGCCTACCGTTAGAAAATACGAGAGAAAGTAGATTTGACTGTGTTCGATTTGCTTAGAATTCTCAACGAGTCATAGCTTCGAAAGAGTGGAGATGTGCCTGCAAGTTTGAAGTTTGAAGAATTGGAGATAATCCGAATTTTGTGTTGACAGACTTTTGTCTCGCAATTAAAAATAAAGTTTTTGGAGTTCTTAACCGCAACGCGATATTTAAATTGGTATTTAGAGTAGTCGTATTCCATAAATCGAATATGTGAAGGATCACCACAGTATTCAAATTAGACTCGATTCGGGACGTGTAAGTCAAAGAGCCTTTTCGCAAGTAACAATAAGCTACACCTTACATGAATAACATAGGGAAAACATATGCATTAGCTGTGACGTCACAAGGCTGATTGGAGCGATATTAAAGCTTTCTTCCAAAATGCACTGTTCTTTCCACTTCAAACATCAGCTTGAACAGAGGAATAGATGGAGCAATAACAATAACAGTGCTGTTCAGAAATTACGCTCGAATTCGACTTCGAATTTGTCTCGTTTGCAGCTCACCTTGAAAGCAATAAAATGGCCGTCAACAACAACACGAACAATTTGCACACAAATTAGTCACGTACGCATCACGCCCAAAAAGGAAACGAAAGAACGCCAAAAACAAGAACAACAATAGGCCCATTTTAGGAATTGGGAGAGCTTCATGTTTGTATGGCTAAGCTAGGCTTGAGCCGCTCTTTGCTGCGTTCAGTGTGCTGCCAGTAGCCGAAGTCTGTGCGTCCGGGGCGTGTTGAGCGGTCGAGCGGGTCAGGGGAAATCCGAGGGTATTCGCCTTTATACCTTTAATGCTGGCTGAAACGATTATGATTATCAAAATTTTGGAATTTATGATCTAAATTTGGAAATAAACCAATTATTTTAAATTAAATGCTCCATTTCAAATCGATTAACCATTTTATTTGACCTTTAAATGTGTCGTTTTAACGTTTTCTACACATTTAGTAACCGAGAAACTTAGCTTTCCTTTAGGGAAAAATAGAAATTTGAAATCTAAGAAATATTTGCAGTTTCTATTTGATAAATATTCTTTAATGTTGTTAAAGGTCGAATCAGATTTGGATTGTAGATTGATTTTGATAGAATTACTAGTTACATAGTTACTACACAATTTGAATAAGCAGTCTTTTGGCGTATCCAATCGACATATGTGGTGACTCGGGTGTTGACGCCCATGGCATAGGGGGTGGAGGCGCAATTCTTGCCGAAACTGATGATGCCCACAAGGAACTGCTTGGAGAGGCGCTTGATGACCGGACCACCTGAATCGTACTGGCATGAGTCGCGACTCTGGCCGTTATAGTCGTAGGTGCACATTTGGCCAGAATTGATAGTGGCAACACCATTGTAATCCGTTTGGCAATCCTGATTGCTGGCCACCATCAGATTGATCTTTTGCAGCGTGGTGGAAGTGGGACCGGCAAAGTAGGTTGTGCCCCAGCCTATTACATCGACCCCATCGTAGGCAAAGCTATTAGAACTGCACAGAAAGTGAAATTATTTGAAGATCTGTTCAGCATTTGTCTCTATTCGACGCTCTACTCACGTGCCCGCAGGCGGCAAGCAAATGGGACCCACGCCACGTGTCCACTTAATATTGGAGGCTGTGGTCAGCACCGCGATGTCATTCACCACATTCGGCTCGTTTTGGTACTGTTCGTGCCGCAGCATCTGCTGTATCGCATACTGAGCGTAATAGATGGAGCTGCTGGCTGTAAAAGCGATGCGTGTAAGGTGGCAAATCGGACAGTTTGTAGCTTATTGAACTTACGATTTTGCAGGTTGTTGGTGCCAACAATGGCCACAATGTTGGTGGCCTGAGTAATCTGCATGGTGCAGTGAGCCGCGGTTACAATATGACGATGGGAGACTGCAAAGAAATAGATACATACATAAAAAAAGATACTCAGAAAATAGTTTAATAAAGAAAGACGTGATATCTTTGCCAAGGCAAAGCCTTGCTTTTCTATATGATTTATATGATATAGTCTACAGTCTGGTAGATATGCTAGGAGTATATTGTAGCTCGTAATAGCTGAGTTTGGTCAAGATAACTTGTAAACCAAAAATGTTTTTTATACAAGAACTAATTTTTCTATCTATCTTTCCAATGTGGTCTTTAAGATATAGTGCTCTGATGTTAATAATATTTTGGTAGTTATTAGTATGTGAAAAAAGTTTTTCACATATGCACATATGCACTGCCAGCAACAGAAAGACGGACCTTTTCGTGACGGTAGTTTGCAGGGTAACAGAGACGGATGCGCTGTGGATATTTGTGAAGTATGAATATATAGTTTATGGGATCGAAGACGTGTTGTTGCTTTGCTAATCTTGATAAGACTTTCTGCAGCAGATTCAAAAAAATATTAACAAAAAAAATTTAATTAATATGATCGTTGATAAAAGGTCTGCCTTTCGCTCCAAATGCGAATTTTATACCGCTCTGGTTTTGATAGGGAAGCACATATTTGGAATGAACCGAAGGACCTTCAAAATGTCCTTATTCTGGCTACGCTCACTTCTGTGCATCTTGTTAGTCATTCACTCAAAACAGGCGCATCCTAGACTGATGACTACTTTACGAGTCCTTAACAATTGAGTTCTTCTTCTTGAGATTTTACTCTCCTTTGCATGGCTTTCTACCCACCGATTGTACCACCACAGAATGTGGGCAGGCTGCTGGTGATATCCTTAAGCGCTGCCATGTTGGGATATTCATTGGCCGAGGCCTGTTGCCCGTTCGATATGCGCGCTGTGGCGGACCAGCCACAGTTGCAGGTCTGCGGTAGAACGTTCAAGGTGCATTGGAATTTGCCCGAATTGCTGCCCGTCGAGATGTAGGCGAAGGTCAGCTCCGTGAAGAGCGATTCCCTGTTAAAGGTGCCGCTGCCACAGAAGTTCTCAGCACCACGCATTAACAAGTCGCCCTCACTGTCCAGCCAGAAATTGTCCGTGCTGCACTGGCCATTGTTCTAGAAACGAGGATGCGTTAGCAATCCCAATGCGGACACAATGGGCGCCAGTAAACCGCTTACCGATGGCAAACTAATGGTGCACTGTATCTTGATATAGTAGTCTAGTGGGGCCGTGAATTTGTAGCGACACGAGGTGCCCGCTGGATAGTTATTGGGGTAGTAGGGCGACTCGACGTAGGTGGGGCCCGCCTGCAGCGTATAGGTGTTATCGCAGCCCTCGAAGTAGCCCCGAACGGCAGGCAGTGCCAGCAGGCAGCTGGCGAAGATTAGACAACGACTCAGCATTGTGACAAGACTTTTCGACTTCGATGCCAGCACTCAACTGGGTGGGAATTGACTGCCGCCCCCGACTAATACGAGTGGCTCGGACAAACAACCAAAGTCAAAGCCAAAGACAAAGCCAAATCCACCAACACTTTGCTTTATTGTGCTACTATTAAATGTGACAGCAGTTGATAAAACAAAGTTGTGAACACATTGCGCATACGCCGCGTGTCGCGCTTTGTATCGAATACAATTTTCCATTTCAATGATTGTGCGCTGCACTTGTGCAAATATAACGGAAAATGTTGCCTCACCTCGACCTCCAATTGCAGTCCATTTTGAACTTGGCAGTTGCCACTCGCTTAACGCTAATAATTTTATGGCCAACGCCGTAGTGCTATTTTCCCCTGACTTAAATGACTGGCAACCGATAAGAGCTCGAAATTTACATTGCCTAACAATGGCAGCGGGCGAGGGTTGCTTGATAATAAGAACATATATTATAATTAGTTGGTATCGGTGTTAACAAGAAATTCAATACAAACATCAGAGCGAGTATTGCAACGCAACATCCATTTGAGTTGAAACTTTTTTTTGATAATAGGTCAAATGCCTCGAAACAAGTAGCTTTAATTATTATATAAGAAGTCCGTCATTAACCTGACTAACTTTGGTGTTTCAGCGTCAGACTGGCAACCTTGAGGTCGCTGGACCAAATTCTTGTTTCTGCCTCGAGTTGACGGTTTTTGCTCCGGACGACGTCTTAAACTGTCTTCTAGTATTTAATATATGTTCTTTAAAAAAATCAGCACTATTACCCCAAATACTTAATTACATAACTGTTTCGATGCTTATTTTAACAATTTATTATAAATATAAATAAATAAAAATTATGAATAAAATCAAATAAAATGTTTATACTGATCGATTGAATTACCCTAAATTGTCTTGGCATTTGCCATTCAGTTAGTTGGGCTTAACTAATTATTGCTTTTAGCTTCTGTTCAACCTGCCACAGACAATAGCTATTATGTGATAAGCTTCGCGACGAAAACAAATAAACACCTGAAATAATGGGTTCTAATTAAAAGGCAAATAATAAAAAATGTCAAAAACGGGGAGGGAAACGTCAACGTACGGTGGAACTTTGTTTAAACAGATTTAAATGGACAACAATGCGAGACTTAATTGCTTTCTTATCAATGCATAAAACGAGAAAGTTAAACAAATTAAATTATGATAAAAAAGCTGGTAAGCATCACAAGAGAGTACGCATTGTGAAAACAAAAGTGTAAACAAATTCAATAAGAATGTAGCAACGTTTTTTTATCTGTCTCATTTTTTTAAAGAATATTGTTTCCTTTATTAAAATAACTATTGTGATTATAGAATAATGTTTTATTCAATCTTGTTTTAAATTGGATGTTGAAAAAAAATGGATGAAAAACCTTAAAATCATTTAAATAATAAATTTTTGACAATTTATGCTCCAAAAATGTATCTATTCAGAAATATGAAATCAAATAATTTCATTCTGTATTATTGCTTTGTATTAGAATATTTAGTTAATATTTGATTTAAGCTTTACTTTAATATAACTGTTGTGCCTACTATTTGTTTATATTTAATTAACTTTTTACATGCGTAAACATACGGAACAATATTTGCTCTAAAGAGGAAAAACTAAAAATACTCAAGAAACCAGTGGCCGACTAGGATATACCCTGTGGCCGGCGTCGCTACAATCATTTTGTCTTAAACAAACATAAGTAGTATATATAAATACAATAACACACATACTAATACAGTCAAGTATCGAAATCGTCGCCCAGCAACACACAATTGAAAATGCATTCTTTAATAATTTCGGTATTTATAATGCGAACTTTATGCTTAGCCTAAATATGGAATCGCACTGTGTATTAGATTAGAAAATTAGATGTTTTCAATTCAATTCTTACCTTGTATATACCATACGATAACCCACATTCCAATTATGGTGTCTCAAGCTCTAATAATCTGCAGTTAAGCTAAAATAAAACTTCTTACCAAGTGAAAATAGAAATTATATTGTTATACGAGAATATATATTTCAGAATTTCAGCTTGCGCTATAGTATTTTTTTTCTGACACTTTTAGACGGCTGAATGTCTAGATCGATTCAGCTCATCGCATAAAACCATAATACCGCTTTTAGCCCATTTTCAGCGAGTACAGGGTAAAAAATATGCTAAAAATCCAAGAAATATATAAAACACCAGCTGTCAGTTGTGTCGGTGCGAGGGAATTCCCACTGAAGCTAGCATACACGTAAAAATCGAGCAATATATACGGCAATTAATGGAGAGAATAAGGTGAGAAAAACAACTACGCGTAATGCGCAAATATGTGGGTGGGGCGAAAAGAAATTAATAAAAAGCAACAAAATTGACTTTACGCAAGGCGCAAAAGACAAAAAACACACACAAGCCTAAAAATGAAGAAGAAAAAAAGACAGCTCCTAAAATCGGGCTACAATTTTAGCAAACCCGAAACCAGTTTCCAACACTGCGATGTGTAATTATAATATAATTTTTTATGCCAACACTTTTAAAAAAATGCCTCGTTGCAGTTTTTCCATTGCCGTTGCGTGCTCTTTATTATCTTT